CTCAGATTGGAAGGGTTTTTTTTCCCCCAACTGCCGTTTTGAGATCTCTCCACAGGAACTCTATGGGATTGAGATCTGGACTCATTGCTGGCTAGTTCAGTACTCTCCAGCGCTTTGTCTGAAACCATTTCTGGGTGCTTTTTGACATGTCTTTTGGGTCATTGTCCTGCTGTAGGACCCATGACCTCTGACGGAGACCCAACTTTCTCACACTGGGCCCTACATTGCACCCCAGAATTCTTTGGTAGTCTTCAGATTTCATAATGCCATGCACACGGTCAAGATATCCAGTGCCTGAAGCAGCAAAGCAACCCCAAAACATCAGTGAACCCCCACCATATTTGACTGTAGGGACTATATTCTTTTTTTTAACCACTTGCCTACCAGGCACTTATACCCCCTTCTTTACCAGGCCAATTTTCAGCTTTCAGTGCTGTTGCACTTTGATTGACAATTGTGCGGTCATGCAAGATTGTACCCATATGAAATTTTTTATCATTTTTTTCCTCACAAATAGAGCTTTCTTTTGGTGGTATTTAATCGCTGCTGGGTGTTTTACTTTTTGCGCTATAAACAAAAAAATTGAAAGAAAAAAAAAAAAAAAGTTTCTTTGTTTCTATTATAAAATGTTGCAAACAGGTAATTTTTCTCCTTCACTGATGTGCGTTGAGGCAGCACTGATGGTCACTCATAGGCGGCACTCATTGGCAGCACTATTGAGGTGGCACGGATAGGCGGCACTGATGATGTCTACTGATAGACAGCACTGACTGGCGTCACTGCTAGGCATTGACCAGCGCAACTGCTGGGCACTGACCGGCACAACCGCTGGGCACTGACTGGCTGCACTGCTGGGCACAGGTAGGTGGCACTGCTGGGCACAGGTAGGTCACACTGCTGGGCACAGGTGGGTGGCACTGCTGGGCACAGGTGGGTGGCACTGCTGGGCACAGGTGGGTGGCACTGCTGGGCACAGGTGGGTGGCACTGCTGGGCACTTGCGGGCGGCACGGCTGGGCACAGGTGGGAGAAGCTGGTGGATGGCACTGCTGGGCACCGATCATCAGGGCACTGATCATCAGTGCCCTGATGATCGGTGACGATCCCCGCTCTGACAACTGCCGGTTCTCGGCAGTACTTTCCTCACGCTGTGACAGCGTAAGGAAAGTGCAGCCGAGAACCGGCAATTGCATTTTCCTGTGATCAGCGTGTCATTTGACACGGCTGATCACGTGGTAAATGGCCGCTGTGATTGGCCTTGTACCACATCACGTGATCAGCTGTGTCCGTAGGACACAGCGATCACGGATATCGCCGGGGGCGCGCAGGAGAGACCGTTCTGGGAGGACGTCATATGACGCCCACCCAGAACTGGCTGGCTGCAGTGTAGCCGTCATTCGGCTATCTGCAGTCAGCAACTAATTAAAGGCCTCACTTCTTTTTCTGAAAACAGCAGAATGATGGCCTTTCCAAAAAGCTGTAATTTTGTTTTGTCTGTCCACAGCACATTTTCCCAAAAGGATTTTGGCTTCCTCAGGTAAGTTCCAGTCTGACTTTTTTATATTTCTGTGTCAGTAGTGGGGTCCTCCTGGGTCTCCTGCCATACCGTCCCTTTTCATACAGATGGTGAAATATAGTGCGAGCGGACACTGTTGTACCCTGCGCCTAAAGATCAGCTTGAATTTGTATGGAAGTTAAGTTAATCAAAGAAGGTTCTTTATCCACCAAACACTCCTTTGTTGCAATCTTTGATCATTTTTTCTCTTGTCCACATCCAGGGAGATTAGCTACAGTGCCATGGGCTGTAAACTTCTTGACAATTGTACGCAGTGGACACAGAAACATTAAGATCTCTGGAGTTGGACTTGTAACCTTGAGAATTGTCCATGCTTTTCCACAATTTTTGTTCTCAAATCTTTAGACAATTTATTGCTGCTCTTTCTCTTATCCATGATCCATGTGGCTCACAAAGACATACAACAGAAAGGTTAAGTCAATTTTTCACCATTTTGACTGGTTTCCAGTATGATTTCTAGTTTGTCAGCACCTGTTAATTGATACTGGTGAGTTTAATTACAAATTACAGCATCACAAACTTGGAATGCAATTATTTCTTACAATTGGAGAAGGTGCCAATAATTTTTAACAGTCCATTATTGGAGTTTTGGATGCAATGTGTCAGATTTGGCTTTTGGCTCTCCACTTTCTTGTGTCATACCAATACAAACAAAAGAAATAAACATGAGAATGCCTAAACATTTGTAATTGCAACAATTTTCTGGACGAAGGGGTGCATTATCTGACAGAATTGAAGGGGTGCCAATATTTTGGCTATGACTGTATGGGGTATAGAGTCAGTTTATACAACCAGTTACAATAAAATATACTACCTTCCATTTCACTTGGCAAAGCAGGTTCGGGTGTAGCAGCATCATCTGAAGATCCCACTTTTACAGCTACTGAACTTGAGGCAGTGTTGCTCCTAAAACAAATGTAGTTTTAAGTATAAAGTAAAATCATGTGCAAGTTGAAATACATAAACAGTTTACTCAATAAGACCCGTGTATATCTAAATAAGTTTAAAGTGGTTGTAAGCCCCTGACAAAAATATGAACAAAAGCATATCCTTCTATAGTGTGTACTTGTCTCAGTCCAGAGCACTAAGTCTCATTTCTGTTTACTTCCTTGTTCCTCTATTCCTCTATCTGCACGAGTCACTTCTGACAAGTTTTACTGACACCAAGAGATAAAAAGGTGACAAAGAAGGGAGCTCCAGCACACACCAGCCTGTGATTGACAGTCTCAGCTCTGTTCCTTTGTGCTGTGTGAAGGGGGGGGGGGGGGGTGTCACTTCCCTCCCATCAGCTCTCAGCTCTCCTGACTAAGCTCTGTAGAGTGTAACTTCAGCTCCCTGCTTTCTGCAAGCTCAGACAAGCTGTATAAATTCTGCACTTTTCATGGAGAATTTACAGTGTTTTCCCTATCCAATTGTTGCTTCTGTGACTTAATGTGGTTGTAAACCTTTACACATACCCAGTGAAGTGACTGGCCTCAGGTGATACACAGAGATGAAACAAATCTTCCTGCATTAGTTGTACCGCTTTACCAGAAGACTGCTGGTAAAGCGGTACAACTAATGCAGGAAGATTTGTTTCATCTCTGTGTATCACCTGAGGCCAGTCACTTCACTGGGTATGTGTAAAGGTTTACAACCACATTAAGTCACAGAAGCAACAATTGGATAGGGAAAACACTGTAAATAATTCTTGGCTGCTAAAGTGAACCTGTAGGTTGCCTATGCAGGGCAAAGTAATTCACCAAAAAAATGACAGCTTCTGCAGCAGACTATAATCTTTTCCTTGCTATCCCACCACTCTCGCTGAGTGTAGGAATTTTAACATTCGTACTGCAAACTGACAAATGTATATAATACTGTTAGTAATTTAGGTAGGATAAATTTTAAGCATATCATTGACCTTAGTATCTTATAATGGTAATCATTAAAACGACAACAAAACCTTCATAAAATTGCCATGATCACATTTTCCCAAAAAACAGAAGTCCTTAACTTCCTGACTGTTTTACAATTTCTAATCACACATGGGGACAAAGTGGGTTAAAACAATGCTTGGAATAAGGTCTGTGAGATGGGAGAAAGAAAACCTCCTCTGTTCAGTGATGGACGGTAAAACATATTCTAACACTTGGTCACAGAGAACCTCTGACCAAGCCCCAATGTGTGGGACGAAACATGTCGGGGGGCCTAGCAGTAGCGGCACTGGCTGAGGCAACATGCATCCACATATTCATGCACTGGGATGGGAAGCGGTGCTTTTTCCTTTCTCTGATGATGCTTCTACACTGCTGAATGTTGCATAGGCGCGTGCTCCCTTCACTGCAACTGGTGGGGAGATCTTTACCTCAGCATACAGCAGCATTACAAGTTACCGTTACCTACCATCAAAGAACAACCCAAAAATATATTCTCCTACTCGCAACAATAACAAGTGTATGTTATTTGTTGTTCTTACCTGTATTATGGCCCAGAAGCAATGGTACACTTTTTTTTACATCCTACCTAAAAAACACACTAATACGAATTAAACACTACTTCCAGTCCGGACACTTTTACCCCCTTCCTGTCCAGGCCAATTTTCAGCTTTCAGCACTATCACACTTTGAATGACAATTGCGCGCTCATGCAACACTGTACCCATATGAATTTTTTAGCATTTTTTTGAGACAGATAAAGCTTTATTTTGGTGGTATTTATGCACCGCTGGGATTTTTATTTCTTTTGCTATGTAAATGAAAAAGTCCAAAAAGTTTGAAAAAAAAAAAAAGGGTTTTTCTTATAAAAGTTTGCAAATAAATAGTATTTTATCATAAATCTTGGCCAAAATGTATTCCGTTATCTTTTTAGTAAAAAAAAAACCCAAATTAGTTTATAACCAAAAATTATAATTTTTAAACATTTTTGTTTTACATTTTTTTTTAATATTTATTTTTTTTCTACATACTGTCACCCTAGCAGTACAGTGTCACCATGGTGACACTGTACTACTTGTGGGGGGTGATGAAGATTTTTTTTTTTTTTTTTTTTTACACACAGATTGCTTTTACACCCATAAAGGCTGTAAAAGCAATAATTTCTCCTCCTCTCTGGCTGCATTCTTGCAGCCAATGAGAACTACTCTGTGAGCTGTGATTGGTCACAGCTTGTCACATGGTACAAGGCTGTTGTGAATAGCCTTGTACCATGTGACCTCGGTGATCATTCACAGATTTCACATTTAGTAAGCAATGATGTCAGAAGTGACATCTTGCTTGCTACTCTGCATGTGATCACTGATTGGCCAATTAGTGATCACATGATCGGGACCTCGCACAGAGGTCCCGTCCAACGATCAGTGTTCCACTGTGTCTGGAGGACACTGCGGGCACCAGATTGCGGTGCTGCGCGCTCCCAGGGAGCGCGCACAAGCATGGTGCGGGGAGGCAATTTATAAACGGCCACCCGACCCTGCACTGCCACCGTCCGGCCGTTTAATTACATGGGCCGGACGGGAAGTGGTTAAAAAAAAATTGAAAAAAAAAAAAGTCTTATTTACAAACATACTGACCCTGACTTTTGACCCGGTTATTGACCCTAATTCAGGGTACACACTATAAGAAAATTGGGCGAACATTTCCGTACGAGGAACAATTTTTTCTGATGGAGTGTACACAATTGGAGAAAAATCGGATACGAAAGACTGCGTACGATTGGAAACAAACAATATAATCTACTTACAATAAGTTTCTACACGAAACAAAGACAAAAAAAAAAAAAAAGCCTTTGTCGTTCGAGAATTATCGTACAATTAGTACCATTCTTGGGTATGACATGCTGTGAACAATCGAGGAAAACCGGAAGGTCGCTCATCCACTTTTCCTATAGTGTGTACCCTACTTAACTCTAGCCCTTGCACTAACCTAGACCAAACCTTCATCTAGCTATTTTTCCTTTATTTTTTACTCACTTTTGTTTATTTACAATATACTCCTATAGCGAGAAGAAAGATACAATGTATCCTTCTCTCCGCATACACAGTAGGTTTTCCAGTGATTGATTACTGTGATAGTCAATCAGAATAATCAGGTGCCCGGGGAACCTGGTCCCTGTGCTGGGAGTGCACTGTGCAGCGTGCTCCCAGCACCAAGACATGAATGCATATATGCCACCTCATGGAAGAAGACCCACTTCATTGAGGCCACATATGTGTACAGTGAGCGCAAAGGGGCTAAGAAGTGAATGAAATTATGCAAATAGTACATCCTCGAAGGAGGCTACCATGAGGCCTAGAACTCGAATGGAGAATCTCATTGTGGGATGTTGCTTTGAGCTCAATATCTGAGGGTGGGCTCTGAGAGAAAAAAAAATATTCTTCTAGAGAAAACAACCTTTTGCTTGGGATATATCCACGACCAAACCCAAGTATTCCAGGTGAAGAGAAGGCTGGAGAGTAGATTTTTTTTTAACTTTATACTCCTTTAAAACCACAGGTATGATCTGGGACAAAAAAGGGCTGAACATAGTATTGGAGTTGAAGCCTGGTTGCAGCAGTTAGGTGCTCTGATTTTGAGGTAAAGACTCCAGAGGAAGGAGGTTATGAGATCATCGGGTGTGGGAGCATAACCTTCCCTCCTGTGACATATTTGATAAATTAGTCGATGCATCTTCAAATAAGCTTTCTACAGAATGATGTTTGATGTAACATGTTTAAAGACTGATGCGGCAGGATCAACCACTGGGATTGACCAATCATCATAGATTACATATTCTATCAGTTCTTGAACAGGGAATATTTTGAAAGTTTTGCAGGTCTCTTTGCACCCAAAGGGGCAAGGTGAGACAGGGAAGAATCAAGCTGCACAATGCCAAGGCTTTTCCAAGTGGTAGCAGTGAGTTTTTCAAGCAAAAATGTAAGATAATGGCACTGCAACCCAATCATACTATCAGGACCAGCAAGTGCTCTGTGTTTCCACTCACTGTTCCTGCTGCTTTCTCCATCCTGCAACACAAACGGTCGTACATGTAGATAAAATCAGCAACCAGGTGAGGATAAAAAAAAAAAAAAAAAATAGTTAATGAGTAAGGCCTGGATATGCTGAAATGCGTTAGTGTTGGCTCTGCTTGAAATGTATACTCCTTGGACAAAATAAAGAGAAATTTTATTCATCCTCACCTGGTTGTCAACTTTATCTACATGGAAGCAGTGAGGTGTTCCATGTTAACAAGCATGCTGCGTGAGGCTACTGCTTTAATATAGTGGTAAATTGGGGGAGCAAAATCTTCTGCAGCTTCCTCCAATACTGCCTAAGTGATCCACTTTTATCGGTCTTGTCTAAATATGGCATATCGGGATCCGACTCTGGTAATGAAACAGGAGTAGGAGAAGAGGTGTGGAGTTTTTGAGCCCTGGGCAAAGATGGCTGTATTACGTTTGTCATGGAATTGTAACACGGATGCAAAAAATGTGTTTTATGTTAAATAGGCTGCTTGAGGAGTGTCTGAAATGAATCTAGAATGGTATTGGAGCCGGACTGAGTGTTATGCTTTTGGCAGAGCAGATGTTCATTTGTGGTTTTGTAATGGCTGCCTTTTGCCTGGTCTCTGCCATAGCTAGGTGTGAGGGTAGTCCTCTGTTGGGTACCATAAGTGTATCTAGATGGAGAACACTGCAACAAGGGTATCGATCGTCCTGTAGGGAATCCTTGTGGCAAAAGGGAGGGAGGAAGTACCAGAGTAACCTATAAGGACTTTAAGTGGAAGTGGCGGTAAACTGTTTAACCTTTGGGGTGATGTCACACTTGGTTATCCACCTGAGACCAAGCTCCTTACAGTCGTTCCTTTAAGGCCAGGTTTGTACTGTAGTAATTACCATTCAAATATCACCCTGGTCTTTAACAGTATTAGTCAGAAATGTAAAATGTGACCCTCTTCTGCCTGTCTACAACATTGGACTGTATATAAGGTCCAAACTTTGCCTGTCAGTAAAGGCATACCCCAAACGGGAGTTTATGAACTGAATTTCCTAGGGATAGACCTGGGCCTTGGACCCATAAAGCTCTCTGTGGCTGACTACACTCATTACACTAAATGCAAAGGTGAGCGCCCATGCAGGATTCAGTGACTTCCAGGTATTTCCTGCTTCTATATAAGCCATTGGAAGGCAGTGAGGAGTTGATTGAAGAATTTGAAGATAAAATGATAACAAGTAGAAAGTGGTTAAGCCCAGAGTGATTTCTTTAAAGGAGAAAAAATTCCATCACTTTAGAACACTAGCAAAACATTGAGGACTCACGGAGAGGGGTAGGGTTATTGCTTTGCTATAGTATAGAGATGATCCTCCTGTGCTACCTTCCTACCCCAAGTGACCCCAAAAAACAAAGTGGCTGCAGACACCTAAATAGCGACAAAAATCAACGGTGACAGGGGTCTGTGCTACTAAGTGACTGATCTGTGAAAAAATGGATGACATAAGCTAGATATAAATATATCCCTCATCCAGGTGAACATAACAGATGTGTAAGGTGGTGCAAAAAATGCCAAGTGAGGATACCAGCCGCAGGGTATCGACTATGAAGTGCTAGTGACACAGGTGAATAAAACAATGGCTAATATATACAAAGAGTGACTCAATCCCACAATGATCAATCAAAAATAATAATAAGTGACAATACCAGCTGCAGAAAACCGGCTGAGAAGTGCTAGTGACACAAGTGGATAAATCAATGGCTGATGTATACAAAAGGCGACTCAGTCCCAAAATGATCAATCAAAAATAATTGATGTGACTCAATCCAAAAACATCAAAAAGTGACTCAGTCCCAAGAAATATATATGTATAAATCTAAAAATGAAGAAGACAGTCCCAAAAAAAAAAAAAAAAAAATCTGAAAAAAACGCAGTGAATTTTCAGAGCATGTCGTGACAGATCCAGTGCTGCAAACATATATGAACAAATCCTCCACCGGCTAGCCTGCGCGCTCACCTTCAAAATTCGACCCACAAGGAACCACAAAGCAAAGAAAGCCTCAAACGTTGATTTCCAAGAAATAGATCCTCAATACAATCAGAGAGCAAAAGGTCATCTCCAATGGCGCCAACAAACACTCATAAGCATGCTCCAGCAATGGCCTCAGACCTCTGTCATCCACAGTGTCTCACATGGAAGATGCAAGCAAGACGACTCCCATAGTGTAATAAGTCACAAACTTTATTTTAAACAACATCTAAGAATCCCTACTCACATTTAAAATAGGTCCGCAGACCAAAAAAGGCAAAATTATTGCAGGAAAAAAACTGCAGGAAAGGTATAGGGGTTTTGGGAGTACCAAGAAGGCGGCTGCCGTCCGTACCCGGATATGACCTCACCACGCTACTGTCCTACGCGTTACGTCACGGTTCACGTGACTTCCTTAGGTCTCCGGGAGCATTAACTCAACTGGTTGTGTTTGGAGGAAGAAAAATTCTGACTATGAGAACACCATCCGTACAGTCAAGCACGGAGGTGCAAACATTATGCTTTGGGTCTGCTTCTCTGCTAAAAAGGTACAGACCAACTTTGCCACATTGGGGGATCAATGTACGGGGCCATGTATTGTAAAATCTTGGATGAGAACCTTCTTCCCTCAGCCAGAACACTGAAGATAGGTTGTGGATGGGTCTTCCAGCATGACAATGACTCAAAATATACTGCCAAGGCAACAAAAGGAGTGGCTCAAGAAGAAACACATTAAGGTCATGGAGTGGCCTAGCCAGTCTCCAGACCTTAATCCTATAGAAAAGTTATGGAGGGAGATGAAATTTCGAGTTGCCAAGCAACAGCCAAGAAACCTTAGGGATTTAGAGAGTATCTGTAAAGAAGAGTGGACCAAAATCCCTCCTCAAATTTGTGAAAACCTGGTAACCAACTACAAGAAATGTCTTACCTCTGCGCTTGCCAACAAGGGTTTCTCCACCAAGTACCAAGTCGTGTTTTGCTTGCGGATCAAATACTTATTTTACTCACTGAACTAGAGCTCAATTTCTAACATTTGTATCATAGGTTTCTTTCTGGATTTTTGGTTGATATTCTGTCTCTATCATTTAAAATATTCCTATTAATAAAATTATAGACCCTTCATTTCTTTGTATGTGGCAAACTTACAAAACCTGCAGGGGATCAAATAATTTTCCTCACTGTAACCTACAGCACTTTACACAGATCTGCTCACATCAGCCTCTGGTTATACTCTGCAATGTCAATACCACAGTTAAACAATCAGCAGACTGTATAACTCAGATTTTCTAGTGCATGAGCTCAACTAATTTAGCCTAACAGTATGTGTGGAACCCACTTACCATTCATCTGTGAAATCCAGTCTTATAGTACTTGTGGTAGTTCCTTCTGTACTATAATGCAACTGTAGCACTGGTTCACTTGTCTCACTTTCTGGTCTTCGTTTACCACGCTCTGCAAGATAGAAGAAGCAGTCTTTGATTAAACTACAAACAGGCACCCACCCAATTTTTCATAATTAAAGCTTCAAATATCTTCATAGTCCATTTCATGCTACCACAAATGTTGAAAACAAATTCCAGACCCCCCCTCTCAGGTTTTAAGGGGTGGATTGTATAGGAACATTGTTCATTTTGAAAGTTTGATTTTTTTTTTTTTTCTCCTCTTCCTCTGTCCTCCCAGAAGGAGTCCATTTAATATTTCTTTAAAATTTTCCTGGTACTCCTCAGGCCCCTTATTTCTCTTTATGTCTTTTCCCCACTTCTCAAGTACAAAAGCTCAGTCCTAAATTGACTTCCAAATTTATGCCCTGGAATGTCAAGGGTCTATACAAATCCAGAAAAGAGATCCTGTGTTTTGAGTGACCTGTAGAGGGAGAGAGTTCAGGTAGCCTTTCACCAAGAGACTCGTTTCCGAACTAGACAGATTTAGCGTATTACTAATTTTCAATACCCTCACGCTTTATTACAGTACCTTCCCTAGATCTAGGAGTGTCAACATTATCAACAGACAGGAAATCACTATATCCCTCCCAAGCGATCACCAACCACTTGTTGGAATTCTATAGGGAGCTATATAACTCATTACGTTCTGTGACCTTCCTGCCTCGGGACAGGATGTCTGAAATTTGCCAGTATTTGGCTGACTCTGGGCTGCCCCAAACGTCCCAGTCAGAGCGCCAGGCTCTTAGCTGACCCTCTAACTTCAGAGGTGCCATCTCTGGTTTTGAAAGAATTGAAAACCCACAAAGCTCTTGGTTCAGATTATTTTTTCTTGTTTTACTATACAACCTTTGCACACTTTTTAATCAAGCCACCTTCCTCAGAATACATTACAAGCAACTATATCGGTTATCCCCCAAAAAAGACAAAGATAACGACCAATGCGCAAATTTCCATCCTATTTCATTACTCAAATTAGACTTAAAACTTTTCACTAAGATCCTGGCCATTAAGATGAATCCGTATATCCATTGGCTTATTCACCCCACTCAGGTGGGCTTTGTGCCCGATTGAGAAGCCAAGGATAACACCACCAGAGCTTCAAATGTGATTCATTTAGCATAAGCCACTCACACTCTAAACTGCTATTATCTACGGATACCAAAAAAGCATTTGATTGGGTAGAGCAGACGCTTTAGCATCTGGGCTTTGGAACCCACTTGAGAAGGTGATTGATGAGCATTTTCCTCAACCAGGGTCAAAGTTAAGGATTATCGATAAAAAAATGGGAATCATGGAGGGATTGTAGACATTTATTGCATGATTAACAACATTCCAAGTGAAGGTTGACTGGCATATACTGTTGACAGGTGTATCATTCAGCCTACTTTATTGTCTACATATTTCATGTACTTGCAATCTATTCTTTTCTATTTCCTCTCTTTTTTATGTTAATATACTTTTCTGCATTGTAGCTTTCAAAAGTGCTTTGTTTTTGCTGTGAGAATCATTTGAAAATGTACCTTTGTTTTACAGTTTACTTTTGCAAAATAAAACCGTTTGTAAACAAAAAAAGTTAAGGATTATCAGAAGAATTCATGTGGAGTAAAGGCACTAGACAAGGGTGCCCTCTCCTTTCATTTTTGTCTTCACACTGAACTCCTCCTAGGCCCCATTAGAGCCAATCAAAATATGTTGTATGATAGTACCCAGAGAGAACACAGTCTAAGAACACGCAGATGGTCTGTTATTTTTTGTTACCCAGCCTCTTACCTCCCTTCGAAAACCTCACTGAGAAATTCAGGAAATTCAGGAAGTATAGTGGGCTGTCAAACTTCAAAAAAAACTTCCATAAGTCGAAGGCCTTAAACCTCAATCTTCCACAATATACTGTAAGTGAACTGAAGCCTCCTTTTACATTTAGAATTGTCTCAACATCATATCCCGTATTTGGAAACATTCATGACTTTCTCTGTTCAAGAAATCTTTACAGCAAACTTCTCACCTCTTCTGACCAAGCTCAGACAGGACCTGGTTCACCTGGATTGATTATACTTTTTATTCCAATTATTCTGTGGAACTTGCCACCTCATGGGTGTTCTTGTAACTTAGGGCTGACCTGAAACTGAATTTTTTTGGTGAAATCTGTAAACATGACCAATCACTGTCCATAGTGAGCTGTGACTTTTGACAGCTTATAAATTCGTAATCACAGAGGACTCTAAGAGTTTAACACTACCAGCGTTATTAAAACACCCAGTGTGCATGGAGCCTTTGCATAAACTTAATATAATTGTCAATAAAAGCCTTTGACACTTATGAAATGCTTGCAATTATACTTCAGTATACCATAGTAACATTTACAAAAGATATAAACACACTGAAGCAGCAGACTTTTTGAAAATTACATTTTTGTGCCATTTTCAAAACTTTTGGCCAGGGTTGTACAGTATATTAGAAGTCAATTAGGGTTTATGGGAACTGATCTGTACCAGACAATCCTCTCCCCTCCCATCATAAGCATGTCAATTGTATACTTTTTTCAGGAAAAGTCTTGCCCAGATCCTTCTCTGGCCCTAAAAATTAACATATTTTTGTTTGGGTGCTGACTTGACTTTGTATGCCTTTTTAATATTTCATATGTTTGTCATCTTGTTGGCGTTTATTTTTGTCCTACGTTGCAGCAAACATTTTAAAGAATTAACCTCTTCCCGTCCAGCCCACGTCAATAAACAAACGGCCAGACGGGGTAGACGTTTCTTTTGCTGGAAAAAAAGGAATGTTTTAGCTGTAAAAACATTCTAACACTGAAAACGCGGCAAAACACGGTAAATCGCGGCAAACTGACATTTTTTTTAACCAAAAAAAAACCTCGCTAAAAAATGCAAATGAGAAAAAGCGCGACAAAACACAAAGATCACGCAGGGAAAAAGTATTTGAACACATGAACTAAAATGTATTCAATACTCTGTACGCCTCCTGTATGGAGAAGCCAGTTGCATGCATTGCTCAGCTGTGGTTTTGGCACTTTCTTCCACACAGTCTTCAAATCTTGAAGGTTCCGTGGGCCTCTTCTATGAACTCTTTAGTTCTTTCCATAGATTTTCTGCTGGATTCAAGCAAAGTGATTGGCTGGGCCATTCTAGCAACTTTATTTTCTTTTTCTTTAAAACCAATTGACAGTTTCCTTGGCTTTGTGTTCATTCTTCCTTCAATGATAATAAGTTTGCCAGTACTGTATGCTGAAAAACAGCCCTACACCATGATGTTCCCCCCCCTCCAAATGTCACTGTTGGTATGGTGTTTTTGGGGTGATGTGCAGTGCCATTTGACCTCCAAACATTGCATGTATATTATGGCATCCAAAGAGTTCAATTTTGGCTTCATTTGACCAGACTATATTCCCCCAGTATTTCACAGGCTTGTCTAAATGCTGTGCAGCAAACTTTAAATGAGCTTCAACATGCTTTTTCTTCAGCAATGGAGTCTTGCGTGGTGAGCGTGCATACAGGCCATGGCAGTTGAGTGCATTACCTGTTGTTTTAATTGAAACTATTGTACCTGCTAATTCCAAGTCTTTCTGAAGCTCTCCACAAGTGGTCCTTGGCTCTTGGACAACCCTTCTGATAATTCTTTTAAACTTCCCAGTCAGAAATCTTGCGAGGAGCACCTGGGTCATGGCCGGTTTAGGGTGAAATTATGTTCTTTCCACTTCCGGATTATGGCCCCAAGAGTGCTCACTGGAACAATCAGAAGTTTAGAAATCCTTCTGTAACCAATGCCATCAGTATGTTTTGCAACAATAAGGTTACAAAGGTCTTGAGAGCTCTTTTCTTTTACCCATCATGAGAAGTTTCTTGTGTGACACTTTTGTAATGAGACCTTTTTATTGGCCATCAGTTGAGACTGAACCAGCTAATATTACTTTGCACTGACAAGGGGCAGGATTGCTTTCTAATTACTGATAGATTTCAGCTGGTATCTTGGTTTTTCATGCCTTTTTTTGCACCTCCCTTTTTTCATGTTGTTCAATACTTTTTCCCTGTGTCTTTCCATTTTATTACACGCAACTTTTTCTGAACGTATTTGTTTTGGTTTCTCTGTATGTATGGCTTGCATGGGTTGTTACTGTCACGTGGTCAAAATTTAATATCAATAGCACCTTTAGAAATATATTTACCAAGAAAAATGGTGACATGTTCAATACTTATTTTACCCGCTGTATTTGCAAACATAATATAGAACATCAAACAACACTTAGGTCTCCTCTAACAAAACCTGAAACATCAGACAATAGTTTTCTCTTTAACCTCTGAAAACTATGATCCAAAGTGAAAATCCACTAACATCTATAACACAAAGTAATTTCAACACTTCTCTGTCAGTATGGCCCTTTTAACATGGCCTGAGCTAAATTCATGAAAGCTGTGTGCCAGTTTTAAATACCAGTACCGACACATGTGCTACATTCAGAGAGTTTCTACTAACGCCACTTTTAGAATCTGTTGCTATTGCTGTAACAATTCATATAGAAATAACATCAGTTTGCAGACAAGCAAACTTGCCGTAATTAAGACTAACTGAATTGGAATAGAGAGACTCCAGTGCTCAATTGGGCTTTGAGAAGCTGTCATAGTGACAACTTACTACACAGGGCTCATGGTTGCTAAAATGTCAGGGGCACCAGCTTCCTAGCAACCAATAACGCATACCTGACCCCATTCATTTGCTGGTTTATTATTGGGCTGACAAATGGGCTGGGTGCTGGCAATGTTGTACAAATATGGCAAATGCCAGATTTGGAGAATGTTGCTGCCAGCATCCCTGCCACTTTGTTTACATTCAGCTATTGGCCAGGGAATCTCCCAGCTAGCGATTGAATGGAGATGAGCTATCCTTGTTAATAAGGAGCTTATCATGCATTGAGGACAGAGTATCCGCAGTAAAGGTACTCCAACCCCAGTGACACCCCCTTCAATTTCAACACAGTGACATGGCATATGTATTTGCTAT